TCAGGGGGCAATTTATATTACAATCTTTTCTCAACCCGCTTTTGCTCATAATGCAAAACAGCTTGTGCTTACAGAAGAAGGGATGAGTTGGGTGGCAGTACTAAGAGACGAACGTGTCCTTAGAGTGTAATCATAAACATTCATCAAAATGTGGCATGGCATTTTGATAGACAGCTTGCACAGAAGTCAAGATTACAATTAGTGCAAACAACATTTCTGGTATTCACATTTATAGGCCAAGAAAGGCCCACACATTTTGTCCTAGGTTTAACTGTTTTGAGGTTATTCAATACTAAAACAAAATCAAAGAAAGCTTAGAAAGAACTCCCGTGTGCTGAGAGTATTGAAGACACATTAAAAATTAATTCAAAATTACTTGTACATGAGATATTGATGGAAAAGCTGAAAACTAATTATGTAAATCAGGTAACTAATATGAACAGAACAGAACAAAAAAATTATGAATTATTATGCTAATTAGAGAATTAATATTAATCAAAATTAATCAGGCCTGTCTATTGTCCTAGAGCATTTATGTACCAAATTTTATTCAAATGTGATGATCAGTAATTGAGATATCAGTGTTAATTATGTTAATTAGGTGATTAATAAGCATAAATATTTACCAAAAACTAATTGGGTTTCTGCATAGTTCTCTTTAAAAGTTCCATTACAATCCAATTTGTGGTTCTTTATATATCAGTGGAACATTATGCAAATTAGGTAAATAATATCCAATTAAAACTAATCAGGTGTCTGCATAATCCTAGAAGATCTATGTAGCAAGTCTCATTGAAATATGATTACTACTTGATATATCAAAAGCTGAAAATTAATTAATTATGTAAATTAGGTAATTAATATGTACTCATATTACCCTAAAAACTATCAGGTCTGTGCAGTGTCCTATGACATCTATGTATCAAATTTCATTGAAATGTGATGATTTCTACTTGAAATATCAAAAGCTGAAAATTAATTAATTATGCAAATTAATATATACTCGTATTACCCTAAAAACTATCAGGTTTGTGCAGTGTCATATGACATCTATGTACGAAGTTTTATTGAAAGTGATGATTAGTACTTGAGATATCAGTGGAAAAGCCGAAAATTGATTAATCATTATGCAAATTAGGTAATTAATATTGCACAGATTTTCACCCAAAACTAATCAAATCTGCGCATTAGTTTGGAGCATCTGTGTGCCAAGTTTCATCAAAATCCAATGAGTGGTTCTTTAGGTATCAGTGGAACAGTCATGGAACAGCTGAAAATCAGCTAATTATCATGCAAATTAGGTAATTAATATGCAAGGATTTTTACCAAAACCTAATCAAATCTGCGCATTGGCCCAGAGCATCTATGCACCAAGTTTCATCAAAAACAGATGTATGGTTCTTGAGATATCAGTGGAACAGACGGACACACAAACACACATACAGACATACTAACTGCAAAAACTCCCTTTTTGTGCTTCGCACATGGGAGTCAAACATATGCTGGTAATGTTCAACATTTCACATTTATCAGGTCTAGTTACTACAAGACTAGTCCTGGATGCTTTTGAATACATGCATTCAATGTTGATTTAGATTAGCCTAAACATATTCTTTTTTTGGGCCTTATTAATACAAACGTGTGAGTTTCAAGCATGGCATGGCTGGGTGGTGTTCTTTTAAGATGTATCAGTATTTAAATTAACAGGTATCAATATGCAATTACACAAAGTTAATTATTTTCGAATTGATTCAGCATAATTTCCAGTAAGTTTTGAATCTAACACTTTGTTTTTTTTTGATACAGTGGTAAATTAACATTCTGGAACCCACCTGATATGCAAAACAAATTTTTAAATTGCATATCATAAAAACGGGACAAGCATCATTTATAAATAGATTTAATCACAACTTCTTTGTGGATTGAAAATTTTCATTTGATATTGATAGTTGGGTCACTGAGAGAAAAGAGAGAATACAAAGTAATATCTTATTTGTTGATAATCTGAATAACGTCTTCATCATGCATGATGTGATGTAAACCAACTCTCTGTGGACTGTATTTAACACTGGTTCCCTGAAATGTAGAAATAAATATATAAATGATTACATAAACACACAAGTAGGAAACATAATGATAGTAATTTGACAATAATGAGGTTGAGAATTGTCCTTTGACTGCAAGGTAGTGCAATGGCTAGTTACATGATTACAATACACCATGACAACTCACTTGACCCTCTCAAGGACAGGTTGAATGGAAAGCCAGGGACAATAACATCATAATCAGGTCACCTAACTCACACGCAGCACAGATATTCAGGACCAGTCTTGTAGTAACTAGACCTGATGTTTATCACATATTTCAGCATGTCTTCACTCAGTGATGTTCAGCCAAACAAAGAGGAATGCTATACAACCATCAAGTTCCTTTCACATATGATACAAGTTCCTTTATACCATTATTAAGTACCCAAGATCATATATATAATACACATTTCAGTTCAACTGAGTAGTTTTGGTAATATTGCATCTTCCCATTGTGCAGCTATAATCACTCAAATTCCACCAACTAGAAGTAAAAAGTCATGGCATGACAGCCTCTGAAGTTTTCAATGTAAGGTTATATTCGGCCATCTTAAATTTGGTCACAGAACAAATGCACATGCATCTGTGTGGCATGATGTATGATATGTATTTGAAAAGTTTGAACATGATTTACAAAGGCATGTCAGAGGTATGTCCCTGCAAGAGCATTTGTTGAAACAAAATGGCTATTGGTCAGCCATTTTGAATTCGATCTAAATAACAAAATGACATACAATGTATTATTATGTACACCATATCTGACAATAAATGTCTGGGATTTGATTCTGAAATGGCAGACATCCATGATTTTGATGATTTGTTAGTTTTAAAATGGGTTTCATTTGGCTATCTTGAAATGGATTGTGAAACAAACATTTGTGCATGTATGTGACATGATTATATCTGTCAAATCATAACACAGATATGACTATATAGAACGACATTTATTAAAACAAAATGACCACATGTCAGCCAATTTGAATCAGATTTTAAACATACATGTTACTTTCTGAATAACAAATCCTGGAAAGCGTTCAATAAGTAATACCCCTGATCCACTTCATCTCTATGGGTTATGTTGCAAAAAACAGCTCTGAACTAATTGTGGTTTCTGATTTACAGGTGTTTGAACTGGGTCAATCTGATGTAGTGTACAGGCTTTAATTATTTTGGCTATAAACTTATTTTAATTTTATTTTTTATTACTTTTGTTATTAATGCTCTTTTATTTCATTATTTTACTTTGATTTTGATTTTGTGATTTTTTTTTAATTCCGCCCTACCTACATCTGACCCGATGCCTATGTAACGAGATTTCAACGAGACCCACTATCGACGATTTTAGTCAACGAATCACAGACCTCCTTCAATAGCGCACATGATGACGTCACCGGGCAGAGTCAAGTGGCAAACACACTCAAATAAAATGGCGGATTATACCGGCGTTAGCGACCGTGACTAACACGGCTTTTCGGTATTAAGTTTATCATTGTCAAATGCAACGAAAGTCATTTTTATGTTAATATTGTGGCTAGAATGGTTCGATTTTAGATCGTTATTTCCCATAGTTATTCTGGGAGTGACGATTTTGTTTCCACCGGTTCGATCGAACACCAGTGTCTTTTCCCAGTCGCCTGCCCTGGAGACGGGTGATGTTTGTTGACGATCGGGCCAAAATCGTCTACGGTATTGAAGCTGTAAATATTCATCAAATTGTATCAACATTTTGTACATTATACATTAACTCTTTATTAAAGTAATTGAGCTGATTTAGACTGGAATAAAATATTTTTTATTTGGAACACATCGCAATTGATCGGGAAATATTTTTTTGCTCCAATTTACTGCGTCGATGCCATGTTTACTATAGCTGTTTACAGTGTTCTAATCATTACGATTTACTTATTTTTTTGCTTCCATTCTAGATAATTATGCTCAGTGATGTAAAATTGAAGCGGTGACTGAATGAACGAACGAACCTTGGCTGGCGAAGATGTATCTGGAAGTGTACACATTTGTTGGAAGTGCAAAAAATATTCAATGTAATGACAAAAATTGTAAAATGCTGTGGAATTTCTTTTGCAAATAAAAATATACTAGCAATTTTCTATTAATGGTTTATTCAAGTGGGCAAAATATAATGTACAGAAAGATTGCCCGTATACACTGAAAAGTAAGCAATCGACAGCCTGTGTAAAAGGGGGAGGCTGCGATTGGCTGTTACTTACGTGAGATTTGAACGGGACTTACATAGGCGTCGGATCAGATGTAGGTAGGACGGAATTAACACAAAATCAAAATCAAAGTAAAATATAAAATAAAAGGGCATTAATAACAAATATAATAAAAAATAAAATTAAAATAAGTTTATAGCCAAAACAATTAAAGCCCGTACACTACATTGGAACTGAGTCAGGTGTGAAAAGGAGCCAGTTGAGTGTTGCGCAGTGATCCGGTTTTTGTATTTGAAAGGACGCACACCAAACAAGACTTTTGATGAAATGAAAGAAACTTGTTGTGATGATGCCCCACTATATGACCTTGAAAAACGCTGGCATCGTCAATTCAAACATGGCCGGAAGTCTGTGGAAAAAGCTCCCAGACATGGTCATCCTTCTTCTGCCATTGATGAGGCATCTGTCCGTCAAGTTGAGGCAGCCATTTTGGAAGATCAACGCATTACTGTTCACCAAATAGCCCAAGAGGTCAAGATTAGTACAGTGTCTGTGAAAACTATCATTCATGACCATTTGCATATGCATAAGGTGTCTGCTAGATGGATTCCTATGTTGCTCACACATTTCTAGAAGCAAGAACGCGTTGAGTGCTCAAGGATGAATTTTAAGATGTGCCAAAGCCCAGTCAAAGCAGTGGAAGCACTTGGACTCGCCACCTCCAAAGAAGGCAAGGGTGCAGCCCTCCGCTGGCAAGGTCATACTCACTGGGACCAGAACGGAGTAGTGATGACAGATTTCCCGACAAAGGGTACCACCAATTACAGAAGCCTATTACGCTTCACTTTTGATGAAATTAAGAGAGACTATCAAAATCAAGAGGCGGGGCAAGATCAGCAAAGGTATCCTCCTCCTGCAGGACAACACTCCAGTCCACAACTTTTTTTTTGCAATGTGTGAAATATTTTTTTTCTGTTTTTTTTTCTGGTATTGATCCTTACAGTGTGTTTTTCCAGAATTTTCCCCAATACAAATATGTCACTACCCTAGAGTATCCGATAGTCAACTGAGGTTTCTCAAATTTCTTGAAAATATGCATACAACTTTTGCCAAAATTGATCAATATTATTGAGATTAATAAAACTCTAGGGCTGGAACAAGTTCAGATAAAAATGGTTTGAGGTATTGTAATAAAAAATGTGCACCGGAGACAAATGAAAGAGCAAGGTAAAAATAATGCAATGTTAATATTGTCCCCACAATGTTGACTTGGTTTATTATACAGAATAGAGGGCGCACTACTCCTAAAACACTACAACACATAATATATTATTCACAGCAACATTCCAAGTAAAAGAACAAAGACAAATCAACTGATTCAAACATGCATGAGAGTAGTTAATTGCTTTGACAAGAAGATACTTACATACACTAATGCATATTTAAATGTATTCACCATAGTCCTGTGTATTGCATGGCACTGAAAACATAATAAAAGGTTGTTATTAGTATGCTCCATATATGAATTAAACTGTCAATATTATTATTCAGATAAAATGATATCATCATAAATATCTTCTTACCACATGCTCCACTGTACAACCTTTTCTTAGAATTAAACCACCTTCCAGGTCAGGAAATTCTGCAATGTAACATAAAAGTGATAACAGTGAGTTGTACATAGTATGTATTATACACAGGTTTGTCAAATCATGTA